CCCTGCCTCATCCATCCAAGGGTTCTACTCTTGTCTCTCAAACTCTTTTTGAGGAGCTGCTTATAAGAAGCAAAGCATAGACATTTGCAGGTAACTGCCCTTCAGGTGCTGGAAGGTGCAAGGGAGCAATGATGTAGTCTCTGAGGTGGGGAACAGGAGGCCCCATGGGCTAGAACCGTGGTCAGCAAACTGTGGCTCACGAGCCACATGCGGCTCTTCGGCCCCTTGAGTGTGGCTCTTCCTAAGCCTTAGGAGTACCCTAATTAAGTTAATAACAACGTACCTACCTATATAGTTTAAGTTTAAAAAATTTGCCTCTCAAAAGAAATTCCAATCGTTGTACTGTTGATATTTGCTCTGTTGACTAATGAGTCTGCCAACCACTGGGCTAGAATACTGAGCCCTGAGCAAATGCAGCCCTGGCTGGGCTTTTTACAGTGGGGCTGGTGGTTGATGAAATGGGAGGAGGATAGAACAGAGGCCTGAGTGGATTTGGGGCGCTGGGCCTGGAGAGGTTTGGTTTGCATAGTTTCTTCTAGATCATGTACTGGGGGATGGGCCAGAGACAAAGTGAGAAATGGGAGAGGGAAGAGCATCATCTGCCTCCCTGGATGGAAAGGCTCAGCTCAGGGGCGAATCTGTGTCCTGTCCATATCAGCCATGGACCATAGTCCAGGGGTCCTCAAACTTTTTAAACAGGGGGCCAGTTCACTGTCCCTCAGACCATTGGAGGGCCGGACTATAGTTTTTTAAAAAAACTATGAACAAATTCCTATGCACACTGCACATATCTTATTTTGAAGTAAAAAACAAAACAGGAACAAATACAATATTTGTATTTGCATGTGTCCGCGGGCCGTAGTTTGAGGACTCCTGGCTCCAGACCATGAGCTGAGATTCTACTTCAAAGACTTGACCTTGTCCAATCTTGGCAGGTTTAGGAGTTGGAGCATTTATCTATCATCAGAGAAGGTATGGCCCTTCACTGATTATTTCTGCCCCTCACTCTCCTTCTTTTGATACTGGTACTCCATCCCTCTAGTGCCTGCACACCAGATGTCTTTTATTCAGAGGCTTACCTTGGGTTTAAAGGCAATGAGCTTCAGAATCATCTCCACAGTGAAGAGGCCAGTGAAGAGCATGTTGAGGACGTTCATGGCGTTTTTAAACAGGCAGCTCTGACCGTAGTGCTGAGCGGAGGGAAGAATTGTGAAAACGAGGCAGGGGAATCCCTACTCCTCACCACCCTCATCTCAACAGAGGTCTTCCTTGAACCATCCACTTCCTGGAAGTCCATCCAGTTCTCTGTGGGCAGTCAAGTGGATTCAGGAAATCTTACAAGTTCTTTCTTTCTCTGCCATCTCCGAAAACAGAAGTTGTCAGAGTTCTACGTTCCTGCTTTGTTTGGTTATGACAACTTTATGGAGAATCCTGGCACTCAAAAGAGCACTAGCATGAGTTGATCTCCCTGAAGACAGGTAGATTTAGAATCAATTTCCACACACTATGCCTTATTGACCATAGTGAACACTTCGAGCTCACCCTCTGTTCTCCATTTCCTCCACTCTCTCTATTTGTTCCAACCTAGGGGCCTATGGATTCCTAGGGACCCAGAGAGGAGCTCATCCTTGAGAAAGAGAACTTGTCTTTCTCTACGTGGGAGAAGAGGATAGCTCTTCTGGTCTTTCAACCTCCTTTGGCCACTAGGGAGGTGACAAATCAGAGATGCCTGTGCAGCCCTTTTGCACTCCATTTCCTCCCATAGCACTCTCCCCCATGCAGGCATCAAGGGACCAAGGGCCCCCCTGGACTAACCTGCATGGCCAAGCAGATGGTGTTGAGCAGGATGAGGATGAACATCAGGTACTCAAAGTAGGTGGAGTTGACCACATACCACACTTTGTACTGGTGCTGGTTCTTGGGTATGTACCTCCGCAGGGGTCGGGCCTTGAGGGCATATTCTACACACTGACGCTGGGAGAGAGGTAGTTGGGGGGGGGGTGGCGGAAATGGGGAGAGAGTGTGGTTAGTTACCTGGATATGTGCAGGGGAGGGTGGGATGTTGATGAAACTATGTCCCTGGGGGGTAGTGTTCTCTGGGAATCTGAGAATAATTTATTGCTCTGGTTCATTTATAAGTTTGAGGTATTATTTGAACATTTTTTGGATTTTTCTCTCCCTTAATCAAGGAGATCATATCTTCTAGTTAATCTCTTTATTAGGCTTAGCTGAGGAGTATGTGTCTCCTTTCAACTCCCAATGCCTACTACACGGCTGCCACATAGTTGGCATTTTAGTTCCTATGCCACAGACTCTCTTTGGAGCACTTGTCCGCTCTATTTTTCTTTCTTATCCTCAACTAATCTTCCTATTACCAGTGTCCACAGATCAGAAGATCCAGATCATGGATGGTGATGAGATCTTAAGCTAACTAGGTTCTTGGGAATCCAGCAAAGTGCCCAGCACTGTGCTCATAATTTCTTAGCACTGTGCCCAAGTTTCCAAGTCTGGAACCGAGGAGTCACTGTAGCCTCTTCTCTTAGACACAAACCTGCCCCCGTATCCAGTCTCTAAGCCTGATCCACCTTATTTCCTCCTAGTCTCGTCATCTCTACTATTGTTAACCTGATAGTAGATGAGGGTCTAATCACCTTTCGTATAAACTTTCTGACTGGTCTCCTTCTTCCCTGTCTTATTACCAACCTAAAGTCCATACAGCAGCCAGAATGATGAGTCTCAACCCAAGAGGTTGACATCAAAATCTTTGAGGGGCCCAGCTTGCCTAACGGGTAGAGCTGTGTGTCTTGTGCCATGCTCCTTTCCATAAGCAGACCTGAAGTCACTCATAGGGGTATATTACTGCATGGACTCTTCCCATGGGGGAACATGGCTGAACACCTGACTTCGGTGACTGTACGCTGCAGCCAACCCTAACAGCTTCATTCCTCACCAATTGCCAGTTCTTGTTCATAGTCTGAGAGAGTATAACACGGTACTGGGCGTTACCACAGCACTCCTACTTAAGCCTCTTTCCTGCCCCCACTTCATGCACAGGCCTCTGGGTTTTACTTGAGAAACCATTGAATAGTAGTTTTTTAATGCCATGCTCTTCCTAACCCTCAAAACTCTCAGTCCCTCACTGTTCTAGTTTCTTTCCTTTTTATCAATGGGACTAACCTACCATGGGCACTTGCTAATTTGTCAGCTTCTAGATAGGGCACAAGGTTTTCATCCCCTCACACCCCCCTCCCCCAAGTCTATCACAGAGTCTCCATAAGCAGATACTTAATGAATAATTGTTGGCTGAATGAATGCATTTGGTAGATCTGGGATTAGCATTTCTTTTGCTCAGTCTCCTCCAGAAGACTGGGGAGCCCTATTCTCATTTACAGGAGCAGACAGATGATCTTAGTATCCATATGGATCTCTCTCCTGACCACAGCCTCTCTTTTGCGGGGGGCAACTGCTGTCATTCCTCCTGTGGCCCTACTTCCCCTCAGTGCCTTGGTCCTCTCCTTCCTAGGAAGCTACCTGGTTCTTGTCCAGCTCACAGTTCTTGTACTCCTGCTCTCCCTGCTCCTGGAAGGTGACGATGACAAAACCCACGAAGATGTTCATCATGAAGAAGGCAATGATGATGATGTAGATGATGAAGAAGATGGAGATCTCCACGCGATAGTTGTATATGGGGCCCTTGTCTTCCGTGTGGGAGTCGATGGAGCGGTACAGCAGCCTGGAAGAGGAGACAGGTCCCACAGAGGGAACTGGAGAAGCAGTGCCACCACTGCGGAATGGCACTGCTGCTCCTAAGGAGTTCAGGGGTGCTGGAAACAGCTCTAGGCTGGAAGTCAGAAGATCTGGGTTCAAGTCCCAGCTATGCCACTTACTGGCCTTGTGACCTTGGGCAAATCACTTAACCTCTTTGAGCCTGAGATTCTTCATCTGTAAAATGAAAACAATAATTCCTGACTTTCCTAACTGGCAAAATTGTTGATATAATGTACATGAAGGTGTTCTGAAACTGTAAAAATTATTTTAATATTTTAATGTAATATGAATCATGGACATTGATTTAAAATACTATAAATATTGGTAAATATTGAAACAGCTTTGCAAACTGACAGAGACTCAGAGGATGTTACAATGAACATAAATCTATCAGAGATCAAATACCCATTTAGATAAAAAGAGTAGGCAATAAAGGACCTAGGCTTATTCAGATCATCAGCAATGGTTTGGATTTACACTTGGGGGTTTACATGTGTGTGCCATCCATCGGGGCCTGGGCTCTATGTCCATCATGCTTGTTCTCCTCTTCCCCTTCTTCTTACCCAGCTTAGTACTTGGTTATCTTCCAGGTATTATCAATATTTTACCATATAATAATGGTGACTCTTATCTAAGATCATGTGCTATTGTTGACTTAAAATATGTAGAACTTTCTGATTGTTAGATGATAATTTCACTGGAATACAAAAGTGGGGGAGCAGGCGTCTGTATAAAGATGTAGGGAGCACAAGATGGACAAGCTACCTGGTACGGGTGATACAGCATAAAGGCTGACCAGGTGGTGGTTTAGGCATGAAGACACTGCCTCTGCAGCGAAGTCTGGAACCATGCTTCCATCCCTTTCTTACTTTCCACTATAAATATCAACATACTTTCTCTACGGAGGCTGGGGTAGAGTCTCATAAAACAGAGACAGCTCTGCCATCTTCACACGCATTGAGTGCATGGGGTGATGATCTTAAATCCTGTGGTGACTCAAAGGCCCACAGTGGAGAAACTTTCCCCGCACCCCACTCCCAGGTGTCATGAGGGTAACCATAGATCCTATTGTTAGGGCTTCACTCTAAGGCTGGGAAGGAGAATTAAAAGAAGCTCATTTTTGGTTTGAGTTTCTGAAATGTTGACATCTCTAGAAAAAGAAAAGTGTGTGTTTCAGCAGTGATGATGGCCTACAAATTGTTCTAGAAGCACAGCCAGACTTCCTGAGTGGGTGGGTGGGGGGTGGGGGCCTCTGGTAAGTGACTTCTGGGAAGGAGTATGGGACAGTAATAAAACTTGGGGACCACGTGTGAAGACCATGTCCTGGCCTCTGGTATCAGGCCTTGATTTGCATACTCACTCTGGCCACCCCTCAAAGGTGGAGACAGTGAAGAGAGCCATCATGGCTGCCAGGACATTGTCAAAGTCAAACTTGCTGTTCTCCCAGTTTCGGGGCTGGATGATGGGGTGGTCAACCTCCCCGTCCTTGTACGTGATGTAGTTTCCCCTGAGAAAGGAGAAAGTTAGTTGTGGGGCATCTCTCATTTCCTTTCACCCCTGATCCACAATGACTCTTGGCATGCTGGGTGGGAGGGAACTAGTTAGGCTTAACACCCTCAGTTCTAGCCATTGGCAGGATCTTCAGTGGGGAGAACCTGGTATGTTATGTCTGTGGGATCAGATTATCCCTGGGTAAAAGTCCAGCTCCACTGCAATCTGTGGAAGAATGACTGTCCCTCCTCTCACACCAAGCCACCAACCTCCCGAGTTACCCAGCCTGGGCGCTGCACTCACTTGCATTCCGCCTCGGTCTGCTTGGAACTGTCTGAACAGGTGTAGAGCTTTCCCTGGAAGGCAGAAAAAGGAAGGGGTTGGAGATGTTCATCAATGAATTAATCAGAAATGATCATCCCAGCACCATGCTAGGGAGTTGGGACAACAAGTGTGAGGGGAGTAGAGTCCAGGTGGGCAGACCTAAGTCACAGATATAAAGCAGTCAGAGCCCGAGAACCACTGGAATTCAAAAAAGGGAGCTCCAATCGTGAGTGCGAGGTCTCGTGGGGAAGAGAGCGGTGGAGCTGGGCTTGGAGGGATGACTGGGTGGGAGGAAATCAGTGGAAGTTTAATTGGTGGGTAGGAGAGGCGGGGAGAATGCTTCCAATGGGAGGAGCACAGAGATAAAAGGATTATGGCAGAAAAGAGTGGAAACCAAGGACACTGGGCTCCCTGGACCTGGGGGGCTTCTCAGGAAGCAGTGAGAGAGGACATGGATAGAGGCAGGGCAGTTTGATGCCGCCGAAAAGGGAACCACTGCAGGTTTTACGCAGGTGCCTCACACGGAGGTTTCTGGGCAAAGGAGTCTGTCTCCCTTTACTGCCAGAAGCAGGGGCAGGACCTGAAGGGCAGGCAGCACCTAGAGGCCGAAGGGTCTTCGCGTGGTGGGGCAATGTCTCCTTCTAAGCCTGTCCCTTTTCTGGTCTGGGAGCTGAGGGCAGGGTGACCTTCATCCCAAGCTTGACCCAGGCCACAGTCCTCTTCTGGCTGTATCTGCCAGGTCCCCTTCCTAGGAACGCTGACAGGAGAAGGAAGAGCCAAGGTCTCACCTTGAAGAGCTGGACCCCGATGCAGGCGAACATGAACTGAAGCAGCGTGGTGACAATCACGATGTTCCCGATGGTGCGGATGGCCACGAACACACACTGGACCACATGCTGCAGATGGAGAGAAGGCGGGCGGGGAGTGGTGTCGGGAAATGCCTCTAGCCTGGGCTTCTTCGGCAAAGCACAGGCCCCTCTGAGGAGGCAGCACGGCAGCGCCCTGGCCACAGTGAGGAACTCAGACTCAAAGAGGCAAAGCACCTTCCGCTTCCAGGGTCACATGGGAGGGAGCCCAGGGGCACACAAAGGCCCCTTTGGGCTCTAGGTAACCACAGGGACATTAGCCCCACTCTCTTCCTAATTCCTAGGGTAGGAATACAGGGACCTCATCGCCACCTGGGCACTGGGTTTGTGTGTGGGTCTCCTTTTTGCAGAAGTGTTGCTGAGGAGTTCAGATTTTGAGTGGCTGCCTGTCATTGTTCTTTTTTTTTTGATTCTTTTTTTAATTGTTTTATTGCTTAAAGTATTACAAAGGGTATTACATATGTGTCCTTCCCCCCCACCCCCCCCCCTTGACAATCCCCTGCCCTCTCCTACCCCCCAGTGTCTTATGTCCTTTGGTTGTTCTTAAAGGGGGAGTGGAGAAGCAGCAGGAGAGTGCAGGCTCCAACAGGGCAGCCACTGGACCCCACACTACCTCCCCCCTGCAGCCCACCCCTCACCACATGCAGCTTAGCTTCCCCCTGCAGCCCACATGTTGGCTGCTGCTGCGGGGGGTGGGGGAGGTGTTGGTGGCTCCCACTCAGCCCCCCTCTCACCTTTAGCCCCTTGGCTCGGTTGATGGCTCTCAGGGGCCTGAGTACACGCAGAACTCGCAAGATCTTTACAACATTGATTGCACTGGACCTGGGAGAGAAGCAGGGCAGGGAGTGAGCTTCTTGTGTTTTTGGCAAGCAGCAAAGAATGTGGTGAGGAGTGTCCTGGCAGGTAACCCAGCAAACCTGTCAATGTGATGGGGATTTCTCATCCTGGGACTCTCTCTACTCTCTACTCCCAGCTCCCACCCCATAAGGACCGGAGGCGTGCCTGCCCCGCCTGCCTGTGGGTGATAAGTAATATGAAAAGCAGCTCACTAGCAACATCACCTGCCACCCAGGGGCCTTTAGAGCCATCGGACACAGTGCGGGCCATGCAGACCTGGGGTCTAACCCAGCTCTGCCACGCACCAGCTGCGTCACTGAGGATCAATGCCCTAACTTTTCTGGGCCCTAGTTTTTTCACCTGTAAAATTGGGTAGCAATCACTTCATAAGGTAGTTGCAAGGACTGAGTGAGGTGTGAGTGGTCTAGTGTATGAACTGAATCCATGGCAGCTTTATTATGAGGGCTGAGGAAGACATGGCTGAACCTGAAGAAACACTACACAAATGGCGGCGCTTCAGGCGGGTGGCAAGAGGTGGAGGGCGTGGGCGGGAGATACCATGCTCATCTCTAAACATGTCCTAGGTGGCTGCCCGGTACACTTATATGTGAAACTTCTGGCTCATAGCAGTCAGGAGGAATGGGTTCTATCTAGCAGGTCCTGCACACCTTGAAAAACTTCAGGAACCTCCGGCCACTGTTGTTCCCTAACAAATAGGAGGTCCCAGGGCTCCAGCCCCCACCAGCCCAGGTGGCCTGTTCACCACACCAGCTCGACAGCTCGGGGAGCAACTCTGAGATGTGTCCTAACCCTCACACGCTAACTGCTAACCGTCTGATTGAGATAATCCCTCTGGCTTTCGGAGAGCCTTCCACCCACCTTGGGTCCTAAACAACGCAGGAGGCAGGTAAGTGCTAACTTCATTCTTCAGGTGGTCAGGCTGATGTGCTGGGGGTTGGGGGTGGGGCGCAGAGAGAGCAGATTTCTCTGGTTCTCAGCTCTTTCATTCCAAAGGATTCAAAGGACATCCCTATCTATATGGTATCTGAGGGAGGGAGTTGGTTTGCACTGAATTACAACAGGAAGGATTTAAAGGTCAGATGGGAAAAGCACAGACTAAAGCAGGGAGTCCTTGGTTCAAGGTTAAACAGTGACTTTGTGGTAGTGCTGGGTTAGAATCCAGATCCGCAGGCTTGCAGACAGATGGTGGTGGGTCAGATAATTGGTGACCAGAGGGGAGAGTCTAATGCCTAACATCCCCACTCCATGCTTTCTAGGCTGACCTTGAAAACACCCTTGGGAGGGGAGACTCAGGGTCGTTTTCTTTGCCCTCAGTGTGACCTTGGGTATGTCTCACAATGTCCTGAACCTCAGTTTTGCTGTCTATAAACTGGGGGTAACAGCACTTGCCCTGCCCACCTTGTAGGTTTGTGTGGGGAATGTTGGTGAAAGTGCCGGGGAAGTTAAAAGGCAGGATTAGCACTATTAGCTGATACAATGTGAGAGAAACTTGTAATCAGATTCTTTTAAACTTGAGCAAGTTTGCAAACTTGGTTGTAAGGTGGAACCCCCTGGAGAGCTTTTAACAATCTTAAAGCCCAGGCTGAACCCCAGAACAGTTAAATAAAAAACTCTGGGGCACATGTCTTTTAAAAAGTTACTTAGGTGATTCGCTGTGTAGCCAAGATTGAGAACCTTCCCTTGCTCCCTCCCTCACTCTCTCACCAGGTGCTTTGACTGGAGAGGTGAGAGGAAGGGAGGGGGAATGGGCCAGAGACCAGGGCAGATCAGGGCAATGACAGGCCCTTGGAGCTGAGGGCACCCAAAGGCCCTGGGCATATGGTGGAGGGACAGGAAGGCCCTCGAGCCTTTCTTCTCATTATAACAGGGCCTGGCCCTGCCTGCCATGGCAAGCTTCAGGCATTTATATGTGTTCTTGTGGGATCAACACACCCCAAGTGTCACACCATGAGGACAGGACATGGGCACAAGAAATCAAAGCTGCCATGTTGTACAAGTCAGAGGCCCCACCCCATTCACACCGCAGATCCATGGATGGGTGCAGGGGGCCCTGCAGACTCTTCATGTCCTGACACCCATTCCTAGTTGCATGCCCTCACGGCTGAGGGGTCCTACTCACTGGATGCCAAAGGAGATGAGGGACACGCTGACCACTAGCAGGTCCAAGATGTTGAAGTAGTTCCGGCAAAAGGAGCCCTTGTGCAAGAAAGCCCCATAAGCAGTCATCTGCAGGGAAGCACAGAGAAACACCCGCATGAGTGGTGCCTGTCCAAACTCCAAAGACCCCCCACCCCCCACCATGCCCTCCCACGGCACCCTGAAGAGCAGTGAGGGGACAGAGGGATGGGGGGTGGCAAGACTGGAGAAGGAGATACAGTGTCAAGAAAAGGGTTCTGCAACAATCACCAAAGAATCCCAAGCCCAGGGGCTATCAGTGTCTCCTACCTAGCAGGCAATGCCAGACTCTTCAATCCTATATTTGAAGCCCTTTCAAATCAGGCCGCCAGCCCTTTCCCATTTTCTACTGTTCCTCATCGTATAGTCGTGGCTCCAACCCCGAGGGGCCCTTTGCTGATGCTATGCTGACCAGGTTTTCCAACCTCCTTTCAAAATTCCACTGACATCGGAACCAGCTTAGGACACTAGGCATCTGGGGGGAGGAGGTGTGCCCAGGAAGGTCACAACCATCCTGGTTCCCTGGGACTTCCCAGTTCAGTTCTGAAAGGATGGGTCCCTCAGTCTCAGGCAGATTGGAACTGGTGGGCCTCTATTGCCCAGTGAGCAGACCTGCCAATAGCTCTGGCACTGAGCCTCCCTCAAACTGCCTCTGATCGGGGCCACGCATTCTAAACTCAGTTGCCATCTTGCTGCTAGACTGTGTGTTCTTCAAGGGCCAGAGCTGTGTCCAGACGGGCCCTGTGGTGCGTGTTAAAGATCAGAGGCTCTAAAGTCAGGCCACCTGGGTTTAAATCCCAACCCTATTGTATTTTATTTGTGAGGCCTGGGCAAGTTACTAACTGGCAAGTTCTGTGTTTCAGTTTCATCATCTAAGAAATGGGGAGACTGATAATATCTCCCCTATAGGGCTACAAGTTCCAGTTGAGTTATTGTATGTAAATCACTTAGAACAGTATCCTGCTGGTAGTCAGTGCTGTGTGCATGCTGGGCAGAGAGAGCTTGGATTTGAATTCTGGATTCTTTCTGCACAATGGAAGTTCAGTTTCCTCATCCATAAAGTGGGTGCACGATTCCCTGCCTTTCTGAGGCACATACTACGTACGGAAAACCACGTGAAACCAAAAGGGAACATGTGGACTGACGAGTGTTATCAGTACTGGCTGTTATTACCTCTCTCAGAGCTTGGTATAAAGCCACTGTAGGCGCTCAGCAAATAGCCTTTCCAATTGTGTTGACCTGAATTAAGGGTTTCTAGGTGAAGGGCTGTGAAAGGCCATGGGCCACTAAACATCAGCCAAAGGGAAGCTTTGGAAGCTGCTGGCTGAGAGGCTGAGCGGCTCCCTGGTCACTGGGTCCAGTTCATCCCTTTGGAGCAGAGCATGCCCAGGGCAGCACGTCTGCAGAGCTGTTCCAAGCAAACACAGGGGGAATGAGCAAAAATAGCTCTTGCAACCTAATTCTTTCCATTTATCTCTTGCCACAGGGGGTAAAAGGGGATGCAGACACCTGTGTCCTGCAATCGTTTCTTGAAGTGGGCAGGTTATATAAAAGGTGGCAGGGGAATAGAGTCGGTGATCTCTCCCAGAGGCTACCATCTGGAGGGGCTTGCTGCCCCTCTCAGTGAGGATTTGGGACCCCAGAGAGCGGACTTGGGTGGCTCCCATGGTTCATGTTAACCAAAGTGCCCTGTGCCTGCTGAAGGCTGAGCACCTCCCTAGCCACCCCCCTCTCATCTTAGAGGAGGTGCTGGGTATTGTGAGGACGGCTCTGAGCTCCAACAGAGCCATCTGCATCCGGGGACAGCTTGCCTCCCTCTGGTGGAAGCTGGGCTCAGAGCACCAGTTCTGTCCTTTGATTTGGGTTCCAGTTTTGTCAGAGCCATTTGTTGGGAAAAGCCACTGCTGGGCATTTTCAGCCCAAAGAGAGAAAAGCAGCGGGACACAGGGCCACTGACTCTGAGCTGGAAGGGCAGGAAGGCCCCTCTGTCCAGCTACAGGTGACCCACCACTTCTGGAGCCAGCAATTCTAGTTCCCAACTGCATCTCACCTTTTATCATTTCTGCTCATTTGTCCTGGCTTCAGCTCCTCCCTCCTCTATGTGACAGGCCTTTGCATCATTCAGGCCAACTATTGTGTCCTACAAGCCTTTTCTCTTTAAGGCCAAAACCCCCCAGTCTTTCACCTGCTCCTAGGACTAAATGTCTCTCTTGATGACTGTCATTGTCTGTGCCAGTGGCAGGACGCCAGGCCTTCAGCCAGGCAGAGGCCCGTGGAAGGAGGTGCAGGGAAGTGCGCTGGGATTTATATCTGCAAGCACACTGGGTAGAGAGTAGGAGGCAGAGGGAAGGCAAGGAAGGTCTTGCCATGACAATACCTGTGCAGTGAGCTCTCACTCCTGTTTGTGAAATGTTTAGGCACAACAGCGCCACTGAAACCCCAGGGAGGCTCTGCGGAAGGCGCTGAGAACTTCTGGTCACAGGAGAGGATTTGGGGATTTTGTGTGCCTCCCTGAGTCTGAAAATATCAGCTCCTCCTGGAAGGGGGCTCTGCAGCACCCCTCCCAGTGCAGCCAGCACCCCGCACCCCTCGGGCCCCTCTCCTCATCCCAGAACCAGGACCTGGAGGATCCACTCTGCTGAGTAAAGAGAAAACCCCAGAAACAGTCTTGTTAGCTGGAACCAGGGACCGAAAGTTGGGTCTGAATGGGGGCGGCGGGGGGGGGGGCGGAAGGCACAAAACTGCCCAACCCAAACTAACTGGAAAAGACAGAGCTTGTCCTGCACGTGACAGGCTGGGTCAGGCCGTGGGAGTTCCACCAGGAAGAGCAGGGGCTGGGGCTGCCCTCACAGGGCCAGGTTGGACGTTGGTTGCACCAGCCACCTGAAGGGTGAAAAGGGAGCCTGGACCCTTGAGGAGGAGCATCCCTTGGGAGGTTTTGACCCTTCGGTGGGGCGCTGTTTGGGGTCAGGAGAAATCCCGTGTCTCGGATGAACTGGAGTGGTGATGCATTGGTTAGAGGCTCAGAAGTATACTGGGTAAATGTAGAAACCAGAATAAAATCAAACATAAGTAATCTATGAGTTATGTATTAATATAATTAATATAAATAATAAGAAAAAACTTGGAAATAATGTGCCTCATCCCAGTGCTGCGCGGAGGCAGGTTGTGGATTCTGCAGATGAGCTGCCTACACCTGGGGCTGCTGGCGGCCTGAGCCCTCATGTCTGGGCCCTGGGGCCTGGGTGTTCCAGCTTCTTTCAGCACTTGGCTCTCACCCCCTGTACTTAGCTCTCCAGTATAACTCTCCCTCCTCAGGGCAAGGGGCATTGCCACAAAGCTTTCTGGCAGTAACCAAGGCTGCAGGAGTAATCTAATCTAGAGTTGTCTATCAGAACTCATTGGAGAGTCTGGCCCCAAATCTTGTGTTGGGCCCACATGTCTGCTGCAAGTACTGAGGAGCTGATGATAGGCATCGAAGAAGGTAGCCAAAGCGACCCTGCCATGGCCCGGAGCTTCCCCACCACTGGAGTTTGTGTGGCATCTCCTCAGGGCAGGAGGAGGTCCAAGCAGGGTCAGTCATCAATTGCCCACAGACGGTGTGTGGGGCATGTGCAGGAGTGTGGGGGCACTGCTGGCGGGCACAGGGCCAGACCTGGTGACAGGACAGCCCAGTAGGTGACACTGGCAGGCAAATGCCAGGACAGGAGGAGGCAGGTGTGGGAATGGGGGTGGGGTTCCTCTGGCTTCTGAGCCTTAGCAAGGCACTAGCATAATGTCAGGGGCACTAATTCTTCTGATTTCAGGCTTGAGAGTAAAAGAAACAAGAGGAAAGAGACAGGCAGGCAGGGCAGAGATAGAAAGAGACAGAGAGAATGCGTTTCTCAGGTTGCATTACCTTAAGGATAATTTCTAATGTAAAGATACTAGTGAAGACATAGTCTGCATTGCCTAGGATCTGAAAAATAAGCACAATTGAATTAGTGGCTCAGAGAGGGAACGGACAGCAACAGGTGCACGTGTGTTAGGGACAGACAGTGGCAGAAAGCTAGTGCCCCGGAGAAGGACAGGAGGTGCAGGGGAGGGGGTGGGCTTTACCTTCAGAGCAATTTCAATGGTGAAAATGGTAGTAAAAACAATATCAAAATAATATAGAATCTGTAAAACAAACAGAAATGGAGTGGGAACGGGGAGGGAAGGGAGAGGCAGGATGGGGGAGCGGTCAGTGGCTGTTCACCAGAAAAGGAATCACTTCAAACCATGACAGACACCGCGTGAGCCCTTCCACATGGAGACAAAGGCAAACAAGTTAGGAGCTGAGTGGCACACACACAGCACTGGACCCTGAAGCGGGCTGGCCTCAGGCAGCTGGTGGCTCTGGATGAGTCCACAGATGTGTGAAGGGAGCTCAGGGCAGGCCTCAGCGGGTCCCAAGTCTCTACAGCATCTTGATGCTTTTCTCATTAATCCAATCCTTATAAACCCAAATCAGTCCACTGAGACCACAACTTGTCAAAAGGACAGCAAATAGGGTTTGCTTGTTTGCTTTTGCAAGAAGATGCAAAGTGCTTAACTGACATTGGTGTGGTTTGGCCAGCTTTCCATGTTGGTTGGAGTGTGTCCTCTGGGCACAGGAGGTGCATCCTCCAGGGGAGGCCCACCCAGGTTGGGGCAGGCTGTATGGTTTCACGTTTTATTCCTTCTCAGTGGATCGGAGCGAGGCCCAATACCTTTCCCAGTAGAAATGCTCTGAACCAAGCAGGACCACCAAGTGGTTGCGTGGACATGCCTTTAGATTGGTAGGCCCCTCTCTTCATGCCCACTTGGTTGGGATTTATTTTAAGGCTTTGAGATACAGCAATGCTTATTTTTGATTTTAATGTTCATCGGAGCCTTGAGTGGGCCTCCAAGTTTAGTTCTACTCCACAGGAGGCCACAGAAGCTCTCTTTTATTTAAGGTCAGCCTTATCATTGGCAGCTGTCTGCAGTGCTCCTGTCTCCCTCATGATTAGGACTGGTCAAAGTACCTTGGGAGCAAGTCAGGATCAGTGGATATTTTTTTATTAAGTTTACAGGAAACCAGGGGACATCCACAGGGCAATGAAAATCCTGACCTTTGCCCATCAGGCCAGCCTTAGGTATCTGGGTACATGTTCTCTTACTTGTGGTCCTTATATGATTTCTACCAAAGCCTTAACCTGTAAAGAACTGTTTATTTGACTATGAGATTTGGAGTTGGGCTCCTGACTGAAAAATGAGGTCAGCGACAGAAGCTGTGGGCCCAGTCACGTTCCTGGGAGGAAGGGGTGCAGAGAACTAACGGGAATGCATACATGGTTTCTGAAGGAGGTGTGCTGGACCGGGTCCTCCGCAGCCAGGGAAATGCTGCTTAGCAGGATGAAGAAGAGGATCAGGTTGGTGAAGATCGAGTCATTGACAATGCGGTGGCACTGGAGGCGAAACCTGCATGGGGAGGAGAGAGAAGAGATGCATGTCAGGAAGGCAAGGAAAGCAGCTCCCTGGGTCATGGGAGCCCCAGCTCCTCTCAGTGTGCAGAAGGCGTGCCAGTTGGGGGAGGGGGTTCTTCAGCCTGAAGTCTTACTCGCTGATGGTAGCCCCGACACCCCCACCATGAGGCACGTCTGCACAGAATGCTACCTTCTAAAGCTCTTTCACTGATAGCAAGCTTTGACATTTTATAGGGTTACATCTGAGGCCTCTGTGAATTTCTAAACTTTCAAATACTGTTGTGACCTTAATAACTGGCTTTTGTTGGGAGACTTCTTTCCCCATTATTAAAAAATAAAAAAACACCCCCTGAAAATGGCGGAGGTATAGACGGACGTGCCCCGTGCCTTGTCCAGGAGCAGATAAGGGTGAGCAGCTGAAACGGGTAACATACAGCCCTAAAAAGCAGAAGATATTCAGCTGGGAGACAGTTTGCAGTTGGGAAAGACAGAGGACACCCAGAGAAAGGGAACAGTTAGAGATTGTGGCTGAAATCTCTCCCGGAGCACCGGCTCAGCCACGGAGAACACACCATCTTGAGTGGCTGTTATTGGGAGCATATAAAGCCAAAGACACGGCATCCAGAGATCGGCTACTAACCCAGAAACAACGGACCCCAAGCAGCATGATTACGTGAACTTAGAGGAACCCTGCTTTTCCCCACGGAAAGGTCAGACTTCCCCTAAAGGTGCGGTTTGCAATTGAGGTTGGAGAGAGGAATGCGTGTGCATGCCTGCACCAGGGAAATCTGAGCCCCACAAAGTCCGTGGCCGTTGGGGCCAGAGTGATCCGCGAGTGTGGAAGGGCTCCCACAGGGCTGCTGGCAGAAGGGAATGCTAAAAATAAGCCCATAGCTGGATTGGGTGCAAAAAAGCAGCCTTGGATTTTGCCAGTGTTCCGGCTGCTTAGCACTGGGGAAGAGAGGGTGCGCAGAAGGGACTGCACACAGAGCTGAAAGGTGTGGGGTTGTGAATTCGGACAACTTTTCAGGCTCTTGTTCTCTCTCTTCCCATTAAATCATTGCGTTTGATTATTAAACCCAGTTCATGAGATTGCCCAGCAGAGACTGCAGGGGAAAGTTGTTTTTGTGGAACCTGGGAATCAGAGCAGGAGTAACGATTAAAGAACAGGTTCTAGGACAGTCGACTCTCCCAAACCAGTTTTAAGGGGAAATAAACCCAACTATTGGATAGAGAGGACTGATAGCCTTGGAGGTCAATCCAGAAACACTACCACCCAGAGGCTGATCCACGAACTGACTCTTCTGTAAATACAAATAAAGGCAGTCTGGGAAACAAATATGGCCTGCCTTAAAATCAGGACTGTGGTTTACAACATGGAGGAACAGTGTATTGCAGAGAAATTCAACACTCTCCTGAACACCTGGCAGGACTAAGGTGTCCCAGAAAGAAGAGTAGAGGACCTGAAGCACCTTCACTACTGTACATTTTTATTTTTATTTTTATATTTAGTTCTTTTTTCACCTTTTAATTAAGAAACTATTTTTTTTCTTTTTTCATCACCTGATTTTACCTTTATGATTACAACACTTTTATTTTTAACTAGTATTATTACTACTACCATTTTACCATTTTTTAAAGTGTCATTTTATTTTCTCTTTATTTTATTTTGGGATTAATGTTCTACATTCTATTTTCATCATTCCTTTAGCATCATTTTTCTCTACCTCAACTTTACCTTTATGCAACAACTCTCTTCCTCACTTTTCCTCTTTTGTTGTCCTGTTTCTCTTACCCTATTTCTGCTTTAGATTTTCCCTATTCCTTCTTTTTACCCTCTGTCTAAATTTCATCCTACTTAAATATATAATCTCCAATCTCCTGCTCTAAATCCATATACACCTCTCTCTTATCTTTCTTCAATATCCAATTTTTTTTTCTTCTCTCTGTCGTTTTGTTATGTTTGCTGGATTGTTGAGTATATTGGGTTTTTTTAAATGCTTGTTTGTGAGATTGTTTTGCTTTTGCTTTTTATTTTCCTGTTGGGATTCTTTTTCTCCAGTTATTTTTGTGCTTCTGTTTTCCCTCACCTCGCTTGATATTAGTGGTTGTTTTTAGTTTGCATTCATCTCCAGGGATCTGTTGCTGGAATTGGTTGGGATTAGTGGCGGTGCTATTGGAGTTTTCTCTCCATATAAATAGTCTCTTCCCCTCTTCTATTTCATTCTCTCTCTTCTCTCTCTCTTACTTTTTTTCTCCCTTTTCCCAATTCCAATTTTGCACTCCTTTTTTTTCTTTTCTCTTTTATCATTATTAATATCGTGAATACATTTGTGTTTAGTGCCTTGTAAGTTGTGCCTTGTTGTGTTGTATTTTGTGCCTTTAAATAAACACAGCAGAGAGAGAACTACATAACCAAACATCTGGAGAAGAGAGATCATGGTGAAACAAAGAACCAGCCGTGTATGGAAGAAAAACAGGTATCACTAGAAAAGGAAGTAAACAAAATGGAGGAAATGGAGGCAAGCAACCTGTCAGAGAAAGAATTCAGAGAAATGGCCATAAGGTGGATGAAAAGAATGGGAGAAAAATTCAACAATATGTGCAAGAATCAAGAAGAAATGAAGAAAAACCAAGAAGAAATGAAAAATGATATCACTGCTATAAAGAACTCAATAGAAAGCATCAACAGTAGACTAGAAGAAGCAGAGGACCACATCAGCGAGCTAGAAGACAAGGTAGGAAAAAACACCCAAACAGAGCAGCTTCTAGAAAAAAAATTAAAAAGCAGGAAGAGAGCCTAAGAGAACTCTGGGACAACACGAAATGAAACAACATCTGAATAATACGGGTGCTAGAAGAAGAGGAAACTGAGTAAGCTATAG